CAGAGTGGACAATGTCAAAAGGAACATCAGAAATCGATGTACTATTATTAAAAGATAAAGCAGGTTATTTTGTAAGTTGACATTCCAGACAATCAAAAGACTTAAATTTTGTAGATCCTAACAGCCCATATGAGGTCGATATACGTCCAACATGAGAGATGTTCATCTTTTCACCATTTGTAGTGTGAATAGGAGGAAGATAGAATATATGTGTGTTGGGAGATAAGATAGAAAGACTAGAGGTCATTTGATTACAACAAGTGGAATCAAAAAGCCAAGAAGATTTACCTGAAGTTACAAACATGGTAAAGAAAGAATTGGAAGAAATCACCTGTTTGAGTAGGGCCTCTAGATCATTCACAATGATAGAAGCAAAGTTGTCAGAAGCAATAGCAGCAAAAACAGCAGACGATCCAGGCTTAAAGACATATTTAGACTTGGAAATTACTCCTTTAGGTCTTGGTGGTCTAATAGGACAATTCTCAATTATATGACCTATTTCATGTTAGTATCGATACTCAATAGTTGGACAATCAAAGAGTAAGTGGCCATTTTGACGACAATGTTTACAAAACTTTATCTTCGGTTTGCGATAGGAGAGTCTAGAATAAGTGGTGGAAAGAGCAATTTCAGACTGGAGAGACTTGTCCAGGCCAAGACGAGTTTCCTCAAAGATAAACTCTTGGATTGTAGAATCCAGCGTAGGTAGAGGATTACGATGCAACAAAGATGCCCTAACAGCTTCATACTTAGGGCAAAGAGCCATAAGAACTTAGATGAGATGAAGGTGATCCTCACTGATTTTGGCTTGAGATAGTTCGTTTCAAATAGGTTGTACTTGAGCCAAGAAATCATTCACAGACTGCCCAGGATCTTGTTTCAAATTATGCAGAGTTGTCCACAATTGATAATAGTGAGCAAGGTCAGTGGTTTCATACCTGCTAGCTAGGAAATCCCATATCTCTTTTACAGTATCATAAGTTGCAAATTGAATATGAATCGAAGGGACAGGAGTATTCCGGAACCAGGTAATGATTTGATTATTCTTGCTATTCCAATCTTCAAGACAACCTTCATATTTTTCATTAGTCTCATCTTTCCCACGAGTGGGTTTGATGAGATCACTAGAGACAATGCGCCAAAGTTTGCGCTCAATAAGAAAACTTTTCATTTCTTGAACCTATAAATTGTAGTTGGAACCAGTCAGAGTGGTGGTAATAGGTTTGGAGATATCAGTAACAACTGAAAGAGAAATTTTTGTCTTCTGCATCATAGAGTCAGAAGACTAGAGTAAAGGGAAAATTACAGAGAGATCAATGAGCTTTCATAGGTTGAAGACTGGAGTAAAGGAAAAATTACAAAGAGGACAGGTTAAAAGATATTTCAGACGCACCTAAACTCTGATACCATGTTAGAAAACAGAGAAGAAGTATGAAAACTAAAAAATTATATTTTTGAGTTGTGTTTATAATACAATGTGTACGTTCTATTTGTACAAGAGAGCCTATGCTATAAAATGAGAAAGATACAATAATTCCTATAATTAAGCAATCCCATTAATTATGCTACAATCACACAAATTAGGCTAACACTTTGAAAAACCTCGTTTCTCCAGGAAATTTAGGCTTACATTTATTGCTTCTTTAATTTTTTCTCATTGAAGCGATCCATTGCATTAGTATCAATAGTGCATGGAGTATTTATAACACATGGGTTATGGGAGAGGGACTATTTGTACCATCAGAGAATAAATCAAATGCAATGAGTTCGGAATTAGTCATGCTATGAAAATAGGTAAATAGCACAAAATGCCCTTACATTTCAATGTTATTGTGCAAAACATTCATAACTTTCATATTTTGACACATTTACTCTTACCTTCACCTTTTATTGCTGAAATCATCATTTTCATCAAATTTCTCGTGTAAAATGACAAATGTAACCCCTATTCAAATAAAACAATAAAAAAGAAAAGAA